GTCAAGTATTTTTGGTGATTCCTGTTATAGTTTTTGTTTAAGTTTCTTTTTTCGTATGAACCTGCATCTCATATATTCAGGTCAACTTGAGATTAGAAAAGGTCTGCTTCATATCTTGATATTTTTCTTGATAGTGACACTGGTTTACAACTTCCAACTAGAATCTACAACTACAAGATTGCAACTTTCCAGTTATTTACTCCCCATTTCGCGACAGTAACACATCAGATGCCTCCATTGTATGGCGTATCCATATCGAAATTAGTATGTTACCATCCTCCATGTTTACACAATACGAACTTCATTAACAAGGATGTGATCCTAACACATTAACTGCTCCAACAGAGTTATGAGGAAAAACGACTACATCGACACTACATAAGTTTTACGGTCACCAACAAGAATGCGTTTATCGATACGATGTGTCTGTCAAAAACTTGCTAGGAATATGTTTTCGTGACTTTATGGATTTCATCCATGAGTTTTTGTTTTTACCTTGATTTGTATCTTCTTGATGGATTTATGAGATTTCAAAAAACAGTACACTACTATTGGCTCTGTTTTAGATAGCCTTTGTCGTTGTTTACATATACAGATGATAGATATCATTAACTTTTAGATTATGAAAACGGCAGTGAAACTAAAACAGAAAAAAGGCGCACTTTAGTACATGTTTAACTAAATTCCGGAGTACTTGAGATGACCACGGTTTTTGGTGAGGTTCGTGTTGCTTAGCCTTTAGTTTTCTATATTGTGTTTTGTGTTTGTCTTTTCGTCGTTTTTCGTTTTTTGTCATGGCATTGTCAGTTTGTTTTCGTTTTTTGTCATGGCATTGCCAGTTTGTTTTCGTCTTGTGAGTTTGAATATCCCTTTGGTATCTTTATTGTGAAAACAAAAACTAAATTCAACAGGTTTTTTTTTTTAGATCAACGCACTTAAGACTACTTGACACGATTGTGTCATTAAAACAATAAAGAGGCGGAAGATACTACCAAGAGGACATTCCAAACTCATAAGTAGAAAAGAAGCCGACAACGCCATAACAAGCAAGAATGTGTCCATAGTACACGGATGCCCCACTCGCACTATCATTTTCTATTCTCAGTGGACCGTGGTCAAAACTCTAATTTGGCATTAAAATTAGAAAGATCGTATCAAAGGGAACATGTGTACTAAGTTTCAAGTTGATTGGACTTCAACTTCATCAAAAACTACCTTGACCAAAAACTTTAACCAAAAACTTTAACCTGAAGCGGGACAGACGGACGGACGAACGAACGAACGAACGAACGAACGAATAGACGGACGAAGGAACGGGCGGACGAACGATTGAGTTTTGTATAGTTTTACATTTGGTGATCATTTTAAAAAAGAGCAAATAAAACAACTGAACTATGTGAACAATGCAGATTATTTATTTGCTATTGCTTTCCTAAAAACGTATGAAGTTATTGTTTAATAAAAAAATTGATGAAATAAAAATATATATGATGCAGATAGAATTGAAGCAGGATGATCTGACAAAAGAGTAAGTTAAAGTAAGAAATAATCAAAATAATTTCAAACATGTCTTACAATAATACCAAAAACACAATACACAATTTGTAAGTAAATCTTAAAACTGAACATGATAAAGACATAAATGTTCTTGTCACGTTTAGTATCAGACGTGGTCTAAATATGTTATGATGTGTTGAAGGTTGTATCCATCTGAAAATTAAAAGCATTTTCTACTGTTTGTCCATTCGAATAACCGTGGGCGATCCAAAAGCATTTTCAATTATATGTCATCCCGGCTGATTAGGCTTCTTCAAAAAATGCGTCATTTACCGTTGAACATAATCTAGAAATTAAAAAAGAAACATGAAATTAAAATAGTTAATAATTTATCTACTTATAAATCGACATTACAAAAAAAGTAGATCTACAACTTCTGTCGGAGTGTCAATTGCAAAATGACTCCGAGATACGGTCAGTAATTGCGAGCATTATGTTATACGCTTTTATGGAATAATGTTGTATTTACCATTGACTTTGTGTTCAACCGAAGCTACTAATTCGCAAAGTCATTTCTAAACACAACATTGTACCTAGTCTTACATATATCATTCAGTTGAGAACTTTCCCTGAATGTTTTTGATATTCGTTACCAAGGTTAAAACATCTGTTTTAATGATGGTCAATTCGTTCCTAAAAGTGAATTCGTTCTTCAAGGTATTTTTATTTAACTATTATGAAAATGTGAGGGAGGGTTGAGTTCTAGAAAACCTAGATTAACCTTGCAAAATGTTCATGTGTCTAGCAAATATTTCTAACAGTTTGATCTTTTTATTGGACAAATTTGGTTTTTGGTTGCACATTAAGAGCATATCCTCATTGTCAAGACACAAATATCTAATTACAGTATCTTCATGGTTTTATTATCTTGTTGTGTTACTGTCTTATTAACAAATATAAGAGTATATATAAGTTCAATAAGTCTAAATGATAGCGCATATCCGAATAGGCAGGTAACATGGACTTACTTGCACGATGTCTGGCAATTAATTAAAGCCCATTTGAAATTGTGACCTCCACACATTCCGTACATTGCGATCATTGGACACAGTTGATCCTTGTCTTTATTAAATTTAGTGCACTCCTTCGATTGTTCTGTTGGCAAAAAAACAACTAATTTTAGTATGTGGTAAACTTAAATGCAATGGTGGCACTTAGTTTCAAAATTTCATATCAAATTGGTTTATTTCACTATAGTTTCATAAACACTAATGAGTGCACGCTCAAGTATCCACTGGCAAGTTCTTTGAGCTGACATAAACCTGTTGGAGTTTATTGTAAGTGAAACTTAGATCATACTGACGCATCTCCGAGAAAATCTCCATTATATCATTATACGACAACAATTTTTCTGGATAGTATGATAACTGGAAATTTTATAATTGATATTGACCTGTATGGAAGTGAGGCTAACTACATGAACATATGTATCAAGGCAAATTGATGCAGTAGACACATAGATGCGTGTGCATACATACAAACAATACATTGATATATACATATATAAACACTTATTCTGTGAAGCACCTGATCCCATGGAGTTTATGTAGCTGTTCCCTAATGGGTATTCCTAGATATCTGGTTGGTATTCTACGGACTTTTATGGACCTGGACCTACTGGCCTACAAATCTTTTAAGCAGAAAATATAGGGCTGATCCATAATTTGAGGCATGTGTTTATAATTAATAAGTATTTCGAAATGTGTAATGGACAGCAATATTGTTATGTAGGACTTGTTGGTCAAAACATTTAGATTAATCCTTTCCAGATCTTGGTCATTCAAGATGAAAACATAGGTATCTTCTTGCATTTGAAACATGCACTTTCAGTTAATCTACAATCTCAATTATTTGCCCAAGGTCAGCGGTTCTTCTGACTTCCTCCACCAATAAAACAGACCGCTATGATACACATGTAGGAGAAATACTGCTGAAAGTGATGCTTACAAATGTTAACTCATTCTACCAATCAATTAATTACTAATGTTAGAATATTTTGCATTAATTGCTTTATAAGAAATGATGAAAACTTTAAGGCTATGGGCCCGTATGCATAAAGCTACTTAAGTTAAGATTTGTTCCGAACGGACGGATTTTTCTACATGTCCTACGATAAATTAGTATTACGATTGCATATCTTAACTTAAGTAGCTTTATGCATACGGGGCCCAGGTTACAAAATGCATTGTTGGGTCGATCGTTGATCGTTTTGACATATATTTACAAGTACCATTTCACCAACTTAATATCATCATTTGCATTCGGTATAATGCTGAACTGTTGCTTATCAATCCTCTCAACTTTATTATTTATCAAGAAATATGTATATTTGAACAAACAAAAACATCAATCCGCTCAACTTTATTATTTATCAAGAAATATTTGTATTGGAACAAAAAAAAACGGTAAATGATTTATGTCCGCTATATTGCGCCGATTGCTAGATGCCGGTGAACATTTTCAGGTTGAATAAGGCTATATACAGAAAGAAGTCCTAACCGTTACTTCAGCTTTCATCAATTCCGTATAGCTTTCATTAAATATACTTACTACAGTCTGGATCAGTTCCGTCAAGCTTACAATCGCCTAAAATAATCAATGTGTTTCATAATTATTTCAAATTTTATCCATGTGAAAAAGGACAAGTAAATATTAAAGTCAGGCAAAGTTGATCTTAGATGAACTTGGCCATTATGTTTAGGCCTGTTGGTCATATGGCTCGTAACGTTGCATCTCTGGCTTTAACATTTTTGTGTTTGAGCGTTCCTGATGAAGGTAAATCCAGAAAAGCACATCTGGCGGACGAAATGTATAACATAATAGAATCACAGCGAAACGATTTAAAATTTCAAAGTGCACTCTTACTATCAATTTCAGTTTGGTCGTACGATATCTGAAGTTATGATTGACTTTGCTCATGGATATAGTTATTGGTTGTATACAGATATTCCGATAAAACATGGTTATATATTCTTGAAGACTCATTGGTGGCCTTGAGCTGTTTTCTGCTCTTTGGTCGGGCAATTGTCTCTTTGACACACTCCCCTTTTCCATCCTCAGTTTTATTTATTTTGTATAATGCATGTTATGTAACATAAATCTATATAAACGACATTTGATTTATTAAAAAGATACGAAGACATGGTTTGTCCTCAGTTATTTCATTTAAATCTTGTATTTGTAGTTCGTTTCCAATCTTTTCGTTGTGTTTTGTTAGATTTGTTTGCTTGAATCGTTCTCGTATCATTTCCTAGCGTAAAATTTTGTTTGACATGGAATTCGGAGTTCCTTAAGTTTTGTGAAAGCGTATTTTCGGCGAATAACAAACTATATCACATGCAGTACATGTAACTGATATGTTTTTATTTGCTTTAAACATTTACTTGGTGATTTTTGATATTATATTGAATGTTTTGACTTATAAAAAATAAATCTCAACTTACGGCATGTTTGATCTACACATTTCCATCCAAGTCCACTGTCCTTTGGCACCATACATTCAGAACATACTTTCCCATCCGTATAGTCATAAGGTCTCGAATTGTAAGATACACTTAAACAAAATGTAAGAATAATTAGCCGATTTTGAATTTTTGCTCGCTACCTGTTATATAATGTCATATTAAAACTTGAAACGTTTTTATCAATTCAATATTGTTTTATTATATTTGTAGCAAAAAATAACAATGCAGTTGAGCATTTAATAAAAAAAAAATGGTAGGCACCTTTGTCGTATATTGTTTGCAAGTTTAATTAACCCATTTAAAAAAAATATTCTTTGTTTCCAGCAAATAAATTCACCACTAATTGAGATTTTTATCCATTAGAAAGACCCATTCTAAGCGGGCGTCTGTTTTAATTATTTAATAAATGTATAAATATTATACAGTTCGTCCGGTAGGAATGGAAACATACATATTGTATAACTTTCTATTTATAAGGATTGTCATTGGCTTTGCACATTAAAAAACAAAAATTTGAATCAACCTATCGGGAACTTTGATGTTTTGTTGCAACATAAATTTCTGACACGCTGTTCCCTATCCCCAGTAGTCACGCTCTAATAAACAACACTGGAAATTATTATTTAATTTGCAATCATCATAATATGTATGAGCATTATGTTTAATATCAAAAGAAAACACACAACTATCAGTAACCTCATCATAGGTACAATATACCAGGATTAAAAATATATACGCCAGACGCGCGTTTATTCTTCAAAAGACTCGTCAGTGACGCTCGAATAAAAAAAAATTAAAAAGATCAAATAAAGTACGAAGTTGAAGAGCATTGAGAACCGTGAATACTGCATGTCGCTTTTAGCCGTATCAAAGTGAAATGAATTATTTTCATAAATTTTACAGCCTTCAGATGCTGACGCCATCTTAGTAAACAATACTTCGGTTCTTTGATTATGAAAATATTATCAATTCGTTGAACGAAATGATCTGTTTGACACATTGATCCAGTATTAGAATGCATTAGTTTCAAAGTTTAATGCTATAGAAAAGTCAAATTAAATGGCAGGTCTATTTTGATAATTTTATTTTTATACATACATGTATTAATTATTTCAATTAAGTAATTGACAACGATTTTTTTACGCTTTTAAGCCTTTGTTGAAAATCAAAGGAAAAAAAATCACACGCACACACAAAAAAAACTCCAATTATCGCAAAGTATAGAACAACAAAATTTCAATATCACTTACATGAACTATAAACAAATATCAACAAATTAAGAAAAAAATCATTTTTACGATTTTTTGCGCATTGCAACTGACTTGTTCTCATAGCTGCCTTAGATTATATAAAGGCGTGCGTAATAAATCAAAATTAATGCCAACACATTGAATAGTTGATGGATGATTCCTTCGTGGACTAACATATATATAATTATGATTGAAAGGAGATGTGGGATTTGCGTCAATAAGAATGAAAACCAAACCCGAAAATAACCGAAAGTAACCCAACATTCCAATAGCAATTGTATCAGGCAGTGTGTTAAACCAAAAGTAAAGCGTTCTAGTTTTTACTGCGTTCAAAGTGAGTTTATAGACCCATCTTCGTCGTGACGCGTACATCTAAGTTATGTAAATGCAAAAATGCATAGATACAGGGAGCTATATATAAGCTACATGAACCTAAAATGTATAACGAAAACCATAAATGTTTCATTCTGAAAGAGGGAGTAGCAACCTAAGTTTTTGTAAAACAAGTAAAAACATTTATAGGTAAATTCATAAAACTGTATGAAATAAACTACAGCCGATTTTAAACATTGACTTCTGGTTTTGAAATCAAAGTGCGACATCAGTGGAATCTATTATTCCGGATGTACCTTCAGCAAGTAAATGACTCTCATCAATTCTAATTTCATAACAATATTTCCCATTGCATGGAAACGCATGCGCAGTTGGTTTAAATACTTAAACGTAAGTACTTACGGAGGCCAGTAGTCACAGACCCAATACCAAGCATTGTTCCATACTTCATGTTGAGTTGATGTTGATACATACAAGTTGTCACATTTGTTTACTGCACAACCAACTTTAATGGTTCTCCAGTTTACTACCTGTAACAGTTATTTCACATTATGTAATCCTATAAAAAACTTTAATCATGACTATCAATAGTTAAATTGTCAGTTGATTCGAACTAACATTCAACGCAAGATCGATCAATTTCAAATCGATACTGAATAAGAAATAAATCATATGTTATTTAAACATTCCGCCTCATCATTATCAACTCAAACAAAACGCTGTGTGATTCTATGATGCGATCGCGATTAAATCGTGAGACAGTCAAAAGATATCGAGATAGTGATATTTTCCAATAGTTAACACAATATAAAACACCATAAGTGAGCGACGTTATAGGAAATTTTGTGTGGCAAACATGTATAATTCTATCAGACTAACACAAATCGTTTTCTGCGTTTGAAGTAGTTTTCTAATAAAGGAATTGATCCAATCAACATCAGCAACGTTCTTCATCACAAGGAGGTAACATCTAAAATTCCACTTTATTTTCAAAATCATTCTGTTCCTATTGTATCCTACAGTTACACCAAAACCATTGCACCTAAAGAATTTAACTATAAGAAAGCATTGCAGGACCTTGATTTGGAACAATACATGAAAAACCCTCTGACATGTGACTGTTCCCACTTGCCTTATATTTACAGCCCCTCTGGCCATGTTATTACTTGGGATCTAAACATAATTCAACATGAACATCGAAAGGTGATATCTCATGGTCCTAAGTTTAGAGAACCCCAACACATCAATTGGAACCATAGCTTGAAAATAGTTATGGATTCCATTGAGGACTACGCCCGATCATGGGCTAAACGAGAAGAAGTTGAACTGGACACTTTGTCAGAATGAGTCAAAACAATCAGGTCTCAGATAAAACGTCGAATTCATAAGTTGAAAAACTGTATGAATGATCAACCAAAGTCCGTTTTCAGAGACAGAGAAGCTGTGAAATGTCTATCATCTCTTCACGATAAATATGTTGTTGTTCCTGCGGACAAAGCTTCAAATAATCTTGTCTTTGTATGTAAATTGTACTTCTACGAGTGTCTTATAACAGAATTAGGAATAAATGAGCACACAGGTAATCCCACATACAAAAACATATCATTTGACAAGGATGAGATTTTGGCGAATCATAAGTCCTTCATGGCTTCAATGAACATTACATTGAACAGCAAATCTGAGGACTTACCTTGTCTGTATTGGATACCTAAGCTTCACAAAATTCCGTACAAACAACGGTACATTGCCGGTTCATCTGTATGTTCTACGAAGGAATTGTCCATCAGATTGACAAAAATTCTATCTGCAGTGGAAGAGGGTCTTCAGAAATACTGTGAACTGTTTACTCGAGAAGTGGTATTAACCATATGTGGATTCTAAAAAACTCCAAAGAACTTCTGGATAGTTCTAAATATCGATCTTTCTATGAAATTAGTTCTATCAAAACTTTTGATTTTTCAACCCTGTATACCACCATTCCCCATGTGAAATTGAAAAAAAATCGTCTAAAAGAAATAATCCACAATGCTTTTCAATATAAAAATGGTAGCATACGCTATGAATTTATTACTTTGGGACACCATACGGCATATTTTGTTATTGGTGACCAAAAATGTAAAATATGCTGCACACGGGAACAAGTGATCAGTATGATGGAGTTTCTTTTTTGATTTGTAAGTAGACTTTTTCAACAGATTGTTGGCATTCCTATGGGAACGAACTGTGCGCCTCTCCTTTCCGACATCTTCTTATTTTCATATGAGTCGGAGTTCCTTAAGACACTTATCAAAAACAAATAGATCAAAGAAGCCATATCATTCTATTTCACATTCAGATATATTGATGATGTTTTTCCATTAACAATCCAAACCTTTCCGAATGGGTTCCATTAATATATCCTACAGAACTAGAAATTAAAGAAACAACACACACGGCTTCCTCCGCCTCATTTGTAGACTTATACCTCGAATTTGACATAAACGGTCATCTCAGTACCTGAATTTATGACATTATCAGTTATTAAATTATCAATTTCCCCCACCTTAGTAGCAATATACAAACTTCACCGGCATAACGGATATACATTTCCAAACTCATTCGGTATTCATAGCTTGCAACTGTTACTCACACTTTATAAAACGTCATCAATGTCTGAGCAGAAAGTTGACGAACCAGGGTTATGTTCTAAAAAGTTCATCAGAAGATACCAAGACCTTGTTGATAAATATTCCGTATCAACTTCACAAATAATACATGATGGTCTTCAAGTATAGATTCTAGGTACTGACGTTGTTTGCCATCTTAATTACGTGTTATAGTGTTCTTTTATTTGTCTTTGTAAATTATTACCTTTACTGTTTAGTCCATCTTTTAGTAAAATCCCTTTGTCGTGGCTCGGTTCTTATACATCCCGTCATTGTGTTATTGTGCTTTGGTCAATTTTTTGTATTCTTGTCTTTCATTTTTGCTTATGTGCTTTGTCTATATGCCATTTTGTTTTTCTTTGTTGACATATTTCTTTGTTTTTTTGTTTTTTTCACACTTTGTTGTCAATATAATGGAATTTTATGCGACTGTCATACATGTGAGGGGTTTAGCTAGCTATAAAACCAGGTTTAATACACCATTTTCTACATAAGGAAATAACTGTGCCAAGTCAGGAATATGACAGTTGTTTTCCATTCGTTTGATGTGTTTGAGCTTTTGATTTTGCCATTTGATAAGGGACTTTCCGTTTTGAAATTTCCTTGGAGTTCGTTATTTTTTTTTTATTTTACTTTTTGGTGTACGGAAGTGATACACATTAAATAAAAACAAAGTTGCATTTGAAGAAATGCAATCGTAATTAAACGTAATTTTATTATGTTTCGTATATACATCACAAGCAATACTGAATGAAAAAAACCCATTGTTATGTGACTAGAAAGAAAACAATCTTTAAACTATTTAGTGAGAGAATATTATATTTATAGCTGAAAGTGAAGTTAGTATAATTAATGAACTTACTTGTAAATAGTGTCCAACAACATCAGTCCATTGATGATCCTTATAATTATAATCGTCTTTTTCGTTCATAAACAAGTGCACAATTCTCTCAATAGAATGATCATTTCCTGTTATAGCGCCTAAATTTTGACCAACGCGTACACCATTAGCGCTAAAACAGAATTAATATCCGATTTAAGATTTAAGTCCTGTTATAGCTTACTCAGAACCAAGGTATACATGAAAAAAGACGGAGTATTCGTCAATTAGACAGTTGCCCAACATTGGTCAACAACACTAAAAGATATATGATAGAGCGGCCATACTGTTTTCAACAAAAGACATATTACTTTTAATACCACCTCAAAGTCTAGTGTGATGACATATACATTTCAACAGATAATTATATCTTTCATACGAAGCGAGAATTGGATATTGCTTGTTATTATACATCATGTTAAAATGCCAGATTGTTATTGGTTAAAACGTAATTTGGCAACACATTTTAATGTTAATGCTTTCAAACTGAAAGGATTGAAAATGCCTTATCAAAAATAAGGCTTTCTGTAACCTCAGAGCAAAGTTGTATTAGACGGTTGTAAATTATCTTGACGTTACATGATCAGGTAAAACTTTGAGAAGTTAAATGATATCTAGGTGAGAACATGTTAATGTGATCTGAATATAAACTCTGCTTTGTACATGACCGACACGCTGTGTCGGATTTTTAACGTGCTAGTTCACAAGGTAACAGTCAGGAGAAAAGACATGTCACCCTATCCGGGCATATTAGTTTGACTCCTGACCAACCAGTCTTTGCTCTTACTCCTAAATGACACGTCCGTAGCGGAGAAGCAGCAATATCAATTATCAAGTCTCAGGTTTTGCATGGCCGATGATCGAACCCACGGTTTCCTGCACTCGAGGAGAACATGATACCACGATACTACCAAGGCGGTTTTCAAAAAAAGACAATCACCACCATGGTAAAAAGTACAAATTTTAAACAACAATCCACAAAACACTCCACAGAACACGAGACCGTGCAAAAAGACGTAGACGCAACTTTACTCCAGGTTTACTAACTTTTTCATTTAATGGTGATGCAAGACTTTTTCTACCGGGCTGACCTAATTAGATAATTTCACAGGGTAAGAGTTTTCAGTATAATATAACACTAGTAATTACAAACGAACCATTTGACGCTTGGCGATACTTCATCATTATTTTAAATTTAGAATATGGCAGTATGTTAAAAAATGAACTTGGGATGTTAGGGAACTGGATCGTGGACATAACCGAATATCTTTCATTCAAGCTTATCTTTCAGGAATAATAATACTAGTATATTTTAATCATAGTTATAGACACAATGCCAATTTTAGAAACTGACTAAATCATACTGTTCTCATTATCCAAGAAGCTATCCTTAGCTATTTCGCCCATTGAAATGATTTTGTTAATTTTTGTACTGATCCCAAAAATTTTAAGTATATTCTTTTCTGGGTTTTAGAGGACATTTCTTTAGTCAGTTATGTATTATTGAATTCGACTCCATCCCACCCCACCCACCCCCAAACCCCCAAACCCCCAAATAACAAAAATAACCATCACTTACAACTCCAGGTTTGTGTGCTTAAATGTGCATTCATCTGCTAATCCTTGTGCTAAGTCAGCAAGGTCTGGGTCCCAATCCTGAAATAAAAAATGTCAACATGCTTTTGAAATGTGAGTAGTGTGAAATACTTCTTTGAAAGAAACCCGCTTAAAAAAGGGACATTAAAGGGTGGGAAAAGATGTGAATCGGACAATAAAAAGCCCTAAGTTGAAGGAAAAAAACTTCTGTATGTGTTAATTTTCAGAAACCTCTGTATGTGTTATTTTTCCAAAACCCTAAAACTTAACCGAATGTGAAAGTTTGAAAGAAATAATGAAAACTAAAGCAAAACCAACACGGTACCCTTTAAAAACCAAGATAGGGGTGGAAGTTGGTACTCATGTCGAATAACCAAAACAAGTAGAAATTGACGATATCAATGTGTGCTGTAAAATAAATAAAGGCTATCTTTATCATAAACCATTCCGTGGTTTCTCTTCTCAGTATAAACATTCAGTACTTTTTTTCTAGTCCATACTCTTCTTTAGATGCTGTATATATATATATTAATAAGGAGTTGTGTTATAATTGCAAAGGAGACAACTTTCCATCAAAGACCAAATGCAAGGATGTGCACTACAATAAAAGACCTCGACGTGTCAAAATGTGAAACAACTCATTAGACGAAAAGAAATGGCCTGATTTATGCTAAACAATAAAACTATTTGTTTTTTTTATGACAAACAGCAAACCCCGAGAAGACTACATTCTCGGTTTCAGTCTTTTGACAGGCACAAACAGAAAGTGGCGGGGTTTGATATGTGGTAGTGTTCATCGTAAAGTGCTGCACCAGTACAATAAGAGAAAGAAATCAGTTTAAAAGGGTTAGACTCATCAAAAAGGGACTATAAAAACAGCTCACAAAAAGACGCAAATAACCGACCTAAGGATCCTCACAAGTACAGAACTAGTCAAATTTAAACTTTAAATAAATCATATTTCCCCAGACATGTTATTGTAGCCATATGATTGTGTTCGAGAGTAAAATCTATCAGATCTTAGATATATCGTACAAAACTTCAGGTTCACAAACACAAAAAGTGCTTAATATCTGATTCAGTTTAAAACATAAACTATCTAATACAATTTAAATCATTTTGTTATTTTCTACAATTCCGTCCTCGTTTCCTCAATTTTAAACCATTATTGTGACGTCAGCCTATTCATTTACCGTGGATTCTTATTCTTTATATCCCAACTCCTTTGTTCTAACAGGGGTGATCTGAGTCGGATCACCCCTACCAGATCACCCTACCTTGAGTTTCTTTGTACTGCATGCTTTCTTTTGTTCTGTAACAGTTTGGATTAATATTGAACACACAATAAAACTTAGAAATATTTCTTCGGAATAAAGACTAACTTTCAAAATTGATGTAAAAAAAATCCACTTAATTTCCAGAGTCGGTGCCGGGAATCGAACTCAAGACCTTAAGCATATGAAGCCACGATTCATATCCCTACACCAGGACGACTAGTTGTAAACTCACTGTTAATTTAACATATTTAAACATTGTATCCGGGGCTCATAAAGGGTATATAGTAATATATAAAGTATATTATAATTATTGTATGGCATTTTGAACTAGATGTTATGAAGCGTAAATTTTTTTTTACATATAGTCTAGAAGAGCTGTGATGTAAAAAAGTTATCCCACTCGGACTTGGTGTGTCAGTGTAAGATCACCTTCTGCCCTCCAGCCATCGGGGCGATCTTACACTGACACACCGCGTCCTCATGTGATAACTTTTACAGAATCAACGCTTCCTAAATCTGTCGCTTAAAAGGACTCATCAACTTATTTCAACTGTTTCCTTTGTGTGCCTAATTTCAATAAGTTTGAATTGGATAATTTACTGATTTCTGTTCACAAATGGAATTAATTTAAAAACTTACCTGTAATTTTTTGTAATTTTTATATGCCTTCACTGAGAATCGAACCCCTCCTTGAAATCTGTTATGTGCGACTGACATAAACACATCGACGAAACCTCTCGGCTACCGATGGCTTGCAATTAAGATGTCTATTTTATATATATAAATTAACATATATATCCTAAATTGAGGTAAATTATCTGGCCTTCCAAATACCGTTTCGATTTCTAACATCACTGAAGAGACATTAATTGTCGAAATACGGATATGGAATACAAATTTTTGCACCTCATGTTTGCGGTATACCATCTTTTCCGCAAGTTCATAGTTTTCTGTTTGGTATCAAATTGATAATTAAGATCCATTTTGTTACATCTGGTGATACGTTTATTTGGCAATCGCCATGGCAGTCAGCATCCGTTGTTCGACCTGCTAGTCAAATGCGTTTTGTTAAAATATACTTTTCTACTTTTTTGGTCTTTTGGAAAATGTTGTTTGTGCTGTATTTAGACCCCTCTACCAAGACATTTGTTTTTCATGCACACTTATAAAAATTGCGGTTTTTATCCAACGCAATCATAGTTTTGAACGTTGTTTATAATCTAGACTTGTTTATAAATAAACATATGACACACATATGTACAACGGACACACGGGGCTTGTACCTTTATGTATACATAATAGACAATCGTATAGTTGGTAGCCGCGAGGTTAACATAGTTAAGATCAATGAGTTAAAGAGTCAATTTAAAGGTAGAGACTTGTCGGTTCAGGTCCGAATCCCTGTATTCTCTTTGTTGTCCCTATTCTTAAGTTTTTCCGTTTTTCTTATTTTGTATGTTTATACTGTGGATATTTTTGTAATGATAGCGGGTTTTCCCGTTTATGTTTGGATTATTATTGGCTGTTTCAAATAATTGAAAAGAAAATGATTATATTCAATTTGTCCATTTTTGTTTTATAAATATAGTATGCTTTCGTCTGTTTGACTACATATCTTTACAAATGTTTATTCAAAAATCCCTATTCGAGTAAATCGTGATGTGCCTAGAATAAGGCTTCTTGATAGAATTTTCAGTACCATACTTATTATATACAGTTTGAATATGTCTCAAATAATTGAAAAGAAAATGATTATATTCAATTTGTCCATTTTTGTTTTATAAATATAGTATGCTTTCGTCTGTTTGACTACATATCTTTACAAATGTTTATTAAAAAGTCCCTATTCGAGTAAATCGTGATGTGCCTAGAATAAGGCTTCTTGATAGAATTTTCAGTACCATACTTATTATATACAGTTTGAATATGTCTTATTATTTAATTATTGAATTACGGATGATATTCAGATTATTTAAAGACAGACGTGTTATGTTATATTTGTATTTTTTAACCGATTAATTGTGAACTTATATTTATTAATGCATCGTTGAAAATGATAAAATGCTTATTTAAACTCACTTACAATAACTTCTAATTTAGAAAAGACTTAAATTTGAAAAGATATCAACACAATAGTTTAAGTTAGAGATACAATGGATAAGTGTTAATTCATAAAAAAAAACATTCGCCCTCCGGGCTCATAGTTTCTTTTTCAAGAATCAACGCTTATTCATTGTATCTATAATACATAACATCAGCGAATTTTTACTTTCCATGAGGCACACGATGGTAGCCACTGTGTAGAAGTATCTGCTTACCCTTTCTAAGCATAAATCCTTGTTTTGGTGGGGTTCTTGTTGCTCAGTCTTTTGTGTTTGTTGTTATTTTTTGGGGGAAAGGGTTGTAGATTCTTGTCTGTCTTTTCTTCGTCGTTTTTAGTTTTGGTCAAGGTATTGTATGTTTATCTTATGCTGTTTTATTGTCTTCTTGGTGTATTGTGCCTCTTTTTTTTATAACCATGAATAACATGGAATAAGTCTATTTTAAAGTTTGTGCAAAGGACTTACCAGTGACCACATATTTCCAGCTGATTCGTTTTTGCGAAACGCTCTGTGTATATAGAGTGCACTGGTAGCCGCCTCGTTTGGTAAACGACAGGGTTTCTTGACTCCTTTGATGTTCAGCAAAGCAGCTTCTTGTTCGCTATTAACCTGTCTCTTTTGAGCATTCCTCATTATGCTGTACCATGTGTTATGCCGTTTCATGTCACTGGTCGTATCTTCTTTGTTCCCATCCTTCTTGAATTTCCGTGGCTTTTCATTTTGCTCTCTTGCTTTTATGATATCTCTGCCTTTTAGTTTGCGTGTACTAGCACCTTTTTGATCATTTTCAGTACTATTTTTCTCTTTGTCACTAATCGCATTTGCTATCAGTTTTTCAGCAATCTCGTCAGGGATCAACGATTCGAAATCATCATGTGGTGGAGTTTCATCGTTCACATCTCTGTAAAACAAAATATATTTAGTTTATATTCGCTAAAAACTGCAATAAAATACAATAAACATTCAAATGAGATTTGTCATAACAATTATATATAATGTACGTTCTTCCACTGCAATGCGTTTTATTTAACATATTTAACGTAACATGGGACTGAATATTTGCAGTTTTTAAGTATTATATATTAACTGTACTCCCTCGAATGAATCTGGTCTGAGAAGGTTTTGATTGTTCTGCTTAAGTCCGTTTGGTATTTTTGTTTACTAACTTCAGAGACATGTAAAAATATGTAACTTCTCTCGAACTTTTGATGGAGAGTGCCAGGATGACACATTGATTACACCCAACATCATGACAATGGTTACAAATCAATTTGTTGAAATCAATTTTATTTTGAATCAGTAGTTCACAGCTTCCTCAATAAAGTGCATTACCTGTTGATGTTGATGTAACTGTGTCCCAAAACTATTACAATGACAATGCCATTATATAAATTACATTGTTTCAACTAAAATCGCACGCCAATCTTTATCATAAAGTACAGTTGATTGGATAAAAGTAGGCTCATAAAAGTGATGGATAACCACGCCTATATTAAACTGAGGTCCTATGAACTGACTTCAGATAGCTGTCAATATGGGGAAAAATATTCCAAACGGATATATTTAGACATTTAGTTGAGAACTAGTATTCGATATTTGAAAAAAAAATTATTGATATCTCTAATTATTTCAGTATTAAAAGTGTTGAGTAACGTTGAACATGAAATTGTAGATTAAGTTTGGGAAGTCGTGTACACCCCCTTTTTGTATGCATTCCACATAAAGAAATACAAAATATCTGCAGGTTTTGTGATTTTATAAGAATTATAGATATTTAAAAAATTCAAATTCACAATTTTTTTTCCTCAACATTGTCTGCTGGAGAGAGAGAGAGAGAGAGAGAGAGAGAGAGAGAGAGAGAGAGAGAGAGAGAGAGAGAGGGGTATACGTAGGAGGGGTATCATTCCGAATTTCCGAGGGAAAAAGCTGAATACAGAAATCCCGAAAACATAAAACATTTTTCCCGAATCCCGAAAATTAATCATTGATTCCCGAGTCCCAATAAGTGTAAATCCCGAATTATCGCAAAACATAAAGACCCAACCCGACGTCCCAAAATGGTCTGTTCTAGAGTTCAATTTATTTAAATTTTCAGAAATTAAAATCAAACAAAAATATTTTACACAAATTCGTCTTCAGACACGTAAATTGATATACATGTAGGTTACTAGCTGGTCTGGATTTTGAAAGAAAATAGCCAATGAAATGCATAAAATATCTAATGTCATGGGTCACGCACGGACCGTCTTACTTTATAGGGATGCTTATGCGGCACATCAGAGTTAAGATTAATGTTTAACCAGAAATTTACCCATTGTACACTTAGAATAAATTCACATGAATACATTGACCACTTATCTTATGGACTTTGAAGCCCGTCAGACAGTTGACTTATATTCACAGAAGAGACCTTGATGAAATTTGAAATTTAAACAATTCTTAATTTTCACGGGAACGAAGATTTTCAAGTACGTTGTAGTGATAAGTTCATCAATGAAGTAAATTTAAAAATAAGACGCCAAGGTCGAAACTAGCTCTAGCTCAAAATGAAGAAAATTCGAACCGTCTTAAAGCAAGAAGGTCTCCTCGTGTACCCGAAGTTTTGTTTGTGGACATATGTTACTGGTGGATAAAGTCGCACTGACTTACAGCAATGTAGGGTCTACAGAGAAATGACGATTTGATGGTTCGAGGTATGTATCATTTGAATAAAAATATCATCAATGTAGAATTTTTGCTGTCATTTCAACTTGATTCAAACTCAATTATGCATATTTTATTGTTTTGTAATTAAAATTTTTTCGCTACACCCCCCCCCCCTTTTGGAAATTAATTATTCTTCTTTAAGAAATTTAGAATAAAAGAAAATATTTTAAAAACATGGCAAACTAATTGTAAAAAAAAACATATACATTGCAGTGTTCTGTTGTTATTTGGGGTGATAATATTCATGTCAAGGCAATAGTAACTCGCAACACGTTCTATATCTCAACGATTTATTCCCGGGGTCGTCATATTTTAATAATTTGGAACAGCCCTGAAATAAAATAGATAATAAAATGTCCATCTACCGAGTGCAAACAACCTCCACCAAATTTGATAGAATATGCAAATTGATAGATACAATATTTGGTTCCTTCCCATATTCAAAACATTTCGCATTATTTTAGAATTTTCTTTGTGTTAGAGATAAATTTAATGATACATTTTGTAAGAAAATAAAATTATATTTTTAGGGTGAAGAAGATATTGTTTTTCCTTTATTGCACAAACCACCACTGGACTGGAGAGATTGACCTGTTAGTTACTGTTGGAAAAGAGTCAACGTTTATGATTCGACATGTCCAACACTTGCAAGAGTAATTTCGGCAGTGTTTGTGAAAATAATTTTATCTTTTGTGAAAAATCATAATTCGCTGTTGTCCGATAATTCAACCTTACAGTGATTTACAGTTCAGTTGCTATTGCCAGCAAAATTATTGCACAGAGAGGAAGCATATCCTGTATTTCGGAACAGAAAAGGAGCTTAAAATATTTACTGAAAAAGTGAAAATTGTTAAAGCCCGTGAAAAAATTAATTTTATATGAAAATAGAAAATTGTGCACTCAGAATTGTGCATAGCAAATAGTGATGTTATCAGAACTGTTCAGTGTTTAAAGACAAATTTCCTAATGGTCTGAAATCAGAAAGGGGCATTGGCGATAACTTGAAATACAATTTTAGATTTTGTATTTTCTTTAAGAGCAATTTTAATATATATTTTTGTGATATCAATAATAAATTTATGTAGAAAATACACAAATGAAAGAATTTGGCTAATGTAATAATTCTGTTTAACAAGTTGATTTGTATTTCAAATTGGTTACCATGAAAAAATAGTTTTGGAAAGGCGGAATCTTCAAAAGTCTACTTGATACTAAGAATACTGAACTGGAAATATATCATTATGAAGGTACACACCTCTTTATCATGCATAGGCAAATGAAAATATTCATCCTTATTCTGATTGATTGTTAACTTTCCTTGTTTTATTTGTCATTGTCGATATTTTATATTTGGTCTGCACGATTGCATTGCATAATTAAATAGCTGTTTCTTTTATCTGTTTTTTTTTATTTTTGTTCTCAAATGTTAATCTTAATTCCTTCAACATGTGACTTCATCATTCTACCCGCCTCATTTTTTATGTGCCTGTCCCAAGTCAGGAGATTGTAATTTAGTGGTTGTCGTTCGTTGCTGTTTATCATATTTGTTATTCGTTTGTTGTTTCGTACATAATTCAGGCTTTTGTTTTCTCGTTTGGAATGCTTTACATTTTGTTATGTCTGGGCCTTTTATGGCTTGCTATGCGGTATGGGTTTTGCTTATTGGTGAAGGCCATACAATGATCTATAGTTGCTATAACATCTTTGTCATTTGGTCCCTGGTGGAAAGTTGTCTCATTGGCAATCATACCACATCTCCTTATTCTATATTGTACTTATACTAAATCACAAAATGATTGTTTAAAATTCCATAAGCTTTCTGAAAAGCTTTAAACTTTATACAGCAAAAAGTTAAATAAAATGCGTATACCATGTGCAGCTAACTATTTGAAATCGAGTCCTTTCCCTCCAGGGATTGTAAAAAAAATGTCTTGCAATTGGATATTTATGTATTTCTCTCTTCCAAAATTTCTTTACAATCAAACAGTTTTTGCGAGAGAAAAAAACTTAATTCCTACATCCCAACATCTGTTTGACCGATGCGAGTCAAACATAATTTTGTGCGTTATAAATTACACCACAGACTTTCTTTATGCAAAGATAAGTTTGACAGTACATAATTATTACCAATTCACCACGATAAAGAAGGTTTATAATGTATAATGTCTTTCGGATTCAAATTAATTAAATTTGGCTAGGGTTGTAAAATTTTCCAAAAACCTGTAAAATTTGCAGTTTTTAACAAAGTATGCCTTTATCAGCGACAGATAATAATTTAGATTGGGAAATAATATTTAAGAAAATGATAAAGACTGTTTAATAATCAGTTTCCAGTAGGATTTTGTAACTTTTAGATATTTACCTTGCAAGTTAAAATAAATACAGGGGAAATCACATTAATTTTTTGTTCATAAAAGACATCGTGAGTTTTTAGTAAAGTTTGACATTTAAGACTAGTGTGTGAAATGCATTGCCTCTTTTAGAAATGCATATTCACGCACGTAGCGAAAATGTATAAATTTCAATCGACAAAGAGAGGCACGTTTTTACTGACTTTAATGCAAAAGAGAACTTTCCCTTTATACACAATATTTTCAAGCAAGTACAATGTAATCTTACAATCATACGACTCCTGATCACTCCTCTGTTTTCATATTTAAAAGAAATCAATGGATCTCGTAAAATGTACGACTCCAGAATATCTTTCACAGTTGATTAGTATTTAAAACATCGGTACTAAATATATCATGCTGGGAATTTTCTTTCTTATGCACCGATTTTTTAATTTTTTTTTTGGAAGAGGGAAGCATTTTTTCTTAGATAAAATGTTTGATTAAATGTCTTGAAAAATGCATTGCTTGTTTTGAAATGGAATGGAAAAAGTAGTTTATTTCTACTGAAAATTATTTTCAATTTAATAAATTTATTTTCAAAATGTTTTCATTTAAGTTGTCCCGAGATGACATTCAAAAGACGGTTGTCAATCAATTTAAGAAGGCGGGGCAAACGGTCATTGGTATCCAATGAATGGTCTACTGTACAAAGTGTTGAAGAGCGGTGATGCTCAAACACATCGAATGACATTGTCATAAATGAATGATAATGTTGTTAAACAACAAAAGGGGCTACTATATGATTACGATTGTGTAATCCCAATTCAAAATAAAGTTGAAATTGAGAAGTAGCTTTGCAACCACTGTCATGATGATGGGCGTATATTCTTCAAGTGAGAAGATAATCCATACGGTTCTAAATCTACATACACGACACATGTATTTAAAGTATTTTTTTCTTATAATAAAGTATTATTTAAAAAAAAAAACATTCATACAATGCACGCGAAATAATAATACTACTTACTCTTCTGAAAGCGGTGGTCCCAGAGCGATATGTTCACGTGGTAGTGTAAGAACACCAGTTAAAAGCACTGTAAAAATTAGCAAGTGCATTGTTAAAATTATGATACTTGCAAGTCGCATGCATTCGTGTATTTATACCAAATATGCTATGCTGGGTGTGACACTTTTGCAAATTAAAATTAAAAAAAAAGGTAATTTTTAATATGTACAATACGTAAAATTTCAAACCTGCATCTAATATTTAATTTAATCAAGTTAATCAGTGTAATCCAAAATTAATGAAACCGCGAACAAAATTTCAGATTTTCTCACATATTTTATTTGCATAACGATACGTCTTATGACCTTTCTATAAAAGCAAGGAACATTTGTTTTGTATCACATTGTTTCGGAAGATCCGCCTTTAAAATGCAGGATAAGTGCGATTTTTCCACGTAAGAATCGTTTCACATTGAAACTACACCTGTAATATATAGATTTAAAGACAAATAAACGTACAACATGAGAAAACACATCTTTTGGAAAAATCAATAGAACTTGAACTAAGGATGACAGAGATACAGATAATTATGTGATGTCATAATCGAATATGAGGACCAGATGGGTTAGGGAACTCAATTAAAAAATGAGATGACTTCAAACTTCCAGACCATTCTGCCTGTTTAATTAAGTATCTATATATCAGATGATGTGATATCCAAGAACCTTAGTAATCTTTTACAGTATTTCCTTTTACACAGGGTTGGGGGTAATAAGTAATCTTCGGGACGTAGAATTTTTACATTTGTTATTAAAAATATGAACATGTAAATTCGAAAGTTTTATATCGACCATAATGACTCATCACTTGTATCGTAACTTAACCGTACCTCACTAAGAGATAACCAAGATATGAACCAAAGGGTGTGGTCCTAACATGTACAGCAAGTAAATATTACCAGACATTTTCACTGGTCAAAGTTAACCTGCGACTAGCGTTTACTATGATGTATGGGATCCTTCATTTTCAGCTCAACGGAAAAGAATGATTGAAATGTCAGACAACTTTGAATTACTAGTATATATAGGAAAGTCATCATCTATATTTTGGAACGTTAAGTTTAAGAATAAAGTCATTTTCTTTTTGTTTCTTCTTGAGAAGTACAGAATACTGGCGCATACAAAAGAACATTTTAAATCGATTGTCCTAAATAATTTACCCACTGCTGAGACATATAATAACGAGTGTGGTCTATATTTTGAAATCAGTAATTTTGTTTCGTTTTTGTAGAGGATTGTAGCAATTGCTGTTTTTCAAAGAATAAATTTCTGCTGTATCGAACGGGAAATTAAGTAATAATGACAAGGGTTCATTTAAAGCATCATAGTTTTTTAACATCTGACGTCTTTTCAATGCATAAAAATCTGCTTTATCGAACGGCAAATTAAATAATAATGACAAGGATACATTTAAAACATCACAGTTTTTTTAACATCTGACGACTTACTCAGTCTATACCAGTCCTGAAGCTTTCGCCAGTTTAAAAAGTATATAATAGAAACATACGACAAAATCTTCAATTTCAACTGCAAATTAAACATTCTTGTTGTTGTAAATTAACCCGCGATGAAAATTCAAAAACAGGAGACACCAATTAAGGAGTTGTCATACGGAAGCCGGTAAGGGTCACATTGAAAAAAAAATGTTGTAATAACGATTTCCGTACAATCAAAAATGAATCTCATTATTGCGCGTTGATTATTTGCACATGCTGTTCAACCTTAAAGCTGCTATACAAGATGTTTAACATGTGATAAGTTTTAGTGCTTTTAATCAATACAAATGATATATATTTTAGCTTATTATAAAGAAATGAAAGGCCAAACAGCCGTATGTTTCCAACCGTAAAGCATTTTATATATATTTCACCTCCCCCATCAACTTATAAAAATTTCATTAATTTGCGATTATGGTCGACCACCCGGAATGTCAAATAATTTAAAATTTCAAAATTTTAATATATCACTAGATTTTATAAACTTTATTTAGATAGATAATATTATATATGTTTATTACATGTTAAAAAGACCTTCCCACGTGTTCTTGCTCATGATTATACTACAAGTCTATCGTTAATCTCGAAGAAGGTCCTATCTGATTCGATTGGTGATTGATGTTTGCTTAAATTCCAGTGGCAAATTTTTCACGCATGTTCAGGACGATATAATTCGAATGTATTCACATAGGTAGAGTGATTATTAGTAAAAAATAATTATCTAATTAAACATTTGTATCGTTTAGATTAATAAAGTAATTTTTATGTCAAACATTAAAATCTAAACTTCAATATATTTAGCTTGTATATAATACACCATGCTGTATTCTTTTCCTTTGTGGTTTTAGAAAATAGTTTCCTTTCGAGACCCAACTAGTGATATTTTTTTTTATTTAAAAAAAAAAAAAATACGTTAAAACTTTCCAGTCGGAATTGAAATTTACAAGATGAACAACACTAATGATAGCATGCTATAAGTACAACTGAGGAAATGCGACGAAAGTTTTACACATGGCCATTATGTGGAAGAATATACAAGTTTTCGATAAATTAGAAGTTGATGAGCGATGAATGTGAAAGCACACCATACGGAATAATATCAGATTATTACATGGCATTTTTCATATCAGATGTATTATCAGCCCAAGGTTCAATATCAGCCAAAGAGCCGAAGGCTCGAGGGCTGATATTAACCGAGTGCTGATAATACATCTGATATGAAAAATGACATGTTATGATCTTTTTATCATATGCTTCCACAATAGAGAAAAATAACAGTTTTATATCTTGATCCTTTTAAGTGTTTCTCAAGTAGAAGTTCAAAAAGTGAAAAGTTTACAGATGTCGGACGCCAAATGTAATACATCCGATATGTAATCTTTCTATCATATGCCTCAACAGAGGAGAAAAACAACAGTATGATATATTTCTATATTGACGATATTCAACAAAAAATTCAACAAAACATAATGAACACTGTTTGTAAAGGTCAACATTTGTAAAGTAACTTTCTAAATTATGCTGGAAACTTTGAAAAATGCATTTATTGTATCATTTGTTCTTTTGCACTTTACATAATATATTTTTCCTAATAACTGTTTTTTACCTTACTTTGTTATGTTTTTCACCGAAAACGTATCATTGAGGTGTATTTTCTGGAATTTGCTGAGTAACGTAGGAATGCCATGCGATAACGTTACGGTAAGGCATGTGATAATAGCCGGACGCATGTGATTAATTTTTCATACCAGCCCGCTAAACACCATTTCGGAAAATATGGAATTCACGTAAATTTCATGCTATTATCATACAGTAAAAATTATAAGTTATTTACTCTATTAAAGTATTTGATGAAAAGTCATCCTCACAAGAAGCTTGAAATAAAATTTCATAAAGCTTTGACCATTTGATTTTCATGCATGACCATTATGTGTAAGAAATGTACAGCCTGACAGCAAATCCCTGATTTGTCCGTTAAAACCCCGGATTTATTATTCGAGAATCAAGTGGAGATAATTTCTGAGAGAGCCGTCAACAGATGTCGCTGTGCAGAAAAATATTTCCCCGCGGAAGACGACCCTGTAGGAAATCGTGAATTTATGAAATTTTAAGAAACCAAACGTATCATGAGCGGTATACATGATATAAAATTGAGAATGAAAATGGGGAATGTGTCAAAGAGACAACAACCCGACCATAGAGCAGACAACAGCCGAAGGGCACAAATGGGTCTTCAATGCAGCGAGAAACTCCCGCACCCGGAGGCGTCCTTCAGCTGGCCCCTAAACAAATATGTGTACTAGTTCAGTGATAATGGACGTCATACTTAACTCCAAATTATACACAAGAAACTAAAATTAAAAATGATACAAGACTAACAAAGGCCAGAGGCTCCTGACTTGTGACAGGCGCAAAAATGCGGTGGGGTTAAACATGTTTTTGAGATCTCAACCCTCCCCCTATAACTCTAGCCAATGTAGAAAAACAAACGTACAACAGTACGCACAGTAAAACTCAGTTCAAGAGAAGTCCGAGTCCGATGTCAGAATAGGAAACAAAAGAAAATAAACAAAAAATGACAATGATACATAAATAACAACAGACTACTAGCAGTTACTGACATGCCAGCTCCAGACCTCAATTAAACTGATTGAAAGATTATGTCTTCATCATATGAATATCAGGCACCTCCTGTTAGGGGTTTTGTATTATGCCATCATAAAGTATATGAGAAGAACATAACCCGTGTCATGCCAACAACTGGTTTTAGAATAAATATGCTTAATTCCGATGCAAAGACCCTATAAGTGAATCAATATTAAAGCCAAAATATGCAATCTTTAATGACCTGACAACAGTAACGTAACTATATCCCTTCTTAATAAGTCTGTTTAAAGGTTTTGTTAGCTTTTGAGGTGAATACTGACATTTTTGTGCTTTGTAAAGAATATTACCATAAAAGATTGGATGTGAAATACCCGAACGTATAAGATGTCTGCATGTTGAGTTATATTCCTTATACCGATGATAAAATTTAGTTAATGTTTTGACTAGTTTATGATATCGAAAACCCTGGTGTAATAATTTTTCAGTAATACATAAATTTCTCTCGCTAAAATCTAATACGTTGTTACATACACGAGCGAATTGTACAAGTTGGGATATATAAACACCATGAGATGGTGACAAGGGAACGTCACCATCTAAGAATGGATAATTAACGATAGGAAATGAAAAATCATAAATTTTTGTATCAAGCTTCCCGTTAATGATATAGATATCAAGATCGAGGAAAGGACAGCGGTCATTGTTAGTATTAGCTTTATTTAAAGTAAGTTCAACAGGATAAATCTCTTTAGTATACATACTGAAGTCGTCATTATTGAGAGCCAATATATCATCTAAATATCTAAAATTATTGTTAAATTTTTGTATCAGATGTTGTTTCGATGGGTCTTTGCTGATTTTAGTCATAAATTGTAACTCATAACAATACAAAAACAGGTCCGCAATAAGTGGTGCACAGTTAGTCCCCATTAGAATTCCGATAACTTG